TGCCAAATAATTCTAGGTAGCTTCTTGCAAAAACAAGCAAGACATTGGCCATGCCAAGCAAGCTGGCTTAATCGCACGAAACCCAGAATGTGCAAAGTAAACAATGTCGTCCTCCACACATGAACTGGTATTAAATTGTTTGAAATTGAATGTTGTTGGACAAGGTCGGGTTTAGTATTTAGGGTGTAGTTGTGAAGCAGGGGGTTTAGGTGATGGGGTTGTTAGCATACAGCAATAGTACATCAGCATTTTACAGGACATTGTTGCAGGGCTGCAGGTTTCGGTTCAGGGTTTAGAATGGGAGACGACACAAGGTGTGTCTAGGTCGTGTTCGTGCCAAAGAAGAGAACCCCGCAAACCTTGTTCAGCAGTCGTGAATTATTGTGCACAGCAACATCCAGAACTTGTCCCAGCAACAACAGGGTCTAGGGGTTTAATGTTCAGGGTTATACGGGTCTGTAGGGTTCAGGGTGTAGTGTTGCGGGTTTCGGTTTCAGGGTTCAGGGTTTAGGTTGCAGGTTTTGGGGTTGAGGGTTTAGGGTTTAGATGTCAGGGTTTAGGGTTTAGTGTGAGGGTTCAGGGTTGCAGGGTTTGGGGTTTAGGGTTTAGATGTCGTGGTTTAGGGTTTAGGGTTTAGTGTGAGGGTTTAAGGTTGCAGTGTTTGGGGTTTAGGGTTTAGATGTCGTGGTTTAGGGTTTAGGGTTTAGTGTCAGGGTTTAGGGTTACATGATGGCTTGGCTGTGTTCAGGCAGTGTAGCTGCCAGGACCGGAATGCACACATGCATGTACACACAGCCTTTTAAATCACAGCACACTTTGTGTTGCCTTGAGATTATATTGTTTTGGAAACCAATGATCCGAACAATTGTGTGTGATACAGTGGTACATCGCAGTAAGGAATATTGTCAGTGTGCAACCATTGGTGCTGGTTTGATGTATTAAAATTTTAATTTGAAGTTTCAAATTGAAATTTATATCAACATTATTTCAATTTGAATTTTCAAAATGAAATACAGACAGACCGAATTTCAATTTGAATTTTCAAAATGAAATGTAGCCCAGCCGGATTTCAATTTGAATTTTCAAAATGAAATATAGCCAAACCCGATTTCAATTTGAATTTTCAAAATGAAATGTGGCCCAGCCAGATTTCAATTTGAATTTTCAAAATGAAATAACAACCAACAATGTTTCAATTTGAATTTTCAAAATGAAATCCTGCAGGCTTTGATAATAATTTTAAAATTCAAATTGATATTATTCTTTGCATTTTCAGTATTTGGCCTCAAACCTTTGTTGTATATATGCACATGCTGTACAACATATTCTAAATATATAATGTGCCCGGAGCATGTTATAGCTATGTTCCTGTTTATAATGTCACCCTTGGGTTGTTCAGTTGGGGTAGGTCTGGCGGTGCTGGGTGTGGGTGCTTCGGGTTTGATGTTGTTCTACGAACTACATGATGAAGTCAACCTGCTCCTGATGTGTTTGTGTATCACATGGTTTGGGGTTTGCGATTCTGGGTTTAGGGGTTTAGGGTTTAGGGTTTGGGGTTTAGGGTTTGGGGTTTGGGGTTTAGGGTTTGGGTGGATTGGGTTTGGTTAGGGAAACGAAAGCCTGTACAGGCTATGAAGCCTCCAAAGGCTAAAGCTTAGGCAGCCTGTACAGGCTTTTGCAGCAGCAATCCTCTAAAGCAATGCAACCACCGCCTAAAGCCTAGAACCGACCACTGGAACAACCCGTAACCCTAAGACCCTGAACCGAAGCCTGTAAAGGCTCTGGGCTTCTGTTGGGGCAACGAAAGCCTGTACAGGCTGGGAAGCCTTTAAAGGCTACGGCTTAGGCAGCCTGTAGAGGCTTTTGCACTAGGAACCCTCTACAGCGCTACAACCTCCAAGCCTAGACGACAACTGGAACAACCCCGAACCCTAAAGCCCTGAACCCAAACCTTAGCCAACCCAGGGCTTCTTTTTCTTTCACCCCTCACAGCCAGTGCCGGTAGCATCGTTCGCCCTCGGTGGCATAGTCCCGGTCCAGCTTTCGCAGAAAAGGCACCATAGACGGGTGCTCGGCAAGCCTGTCCAGGATGTGGTCCACCTTCTCGCCACGAGACCTCTTGTGAAGGACCACCCCCATCTTGGTGAGCCAGCCCTTCCTCGAAGAACCATCAGCAGCTGCCTTAGGGTTCACGGTTTCGGGTTTTAAGGGTTTCGGGATTAAGGGTTTCGTGTTTAGGGCTTGGGGCTTAAGGTTTATGTAATGGAAGGACCCAACAACAAACAAGGCTTCCTGCAAATCTCCAAACAAGTGGCAGGTTCCTTCCACCGTTGCCAGCCTTTCTTCTTCGACCACTTCCACCAAAGATCCGGATCGTGCTCGTCCTTCTCCCAGTACACGTAGTCCTGCATGGGTTCGGGTTCCGACCCAATCCTATATAAAGGCTTACAAAAGCCAAGAGTCTAAGCCCACAGCGACTCTCCTAAATAACACTTGCCACCCGAAACCTATACACAAAGGCTTACAAAAGCCCAGAGTCTAATCCCAGAACCACTATCCAAAATAACACTTGCCACCCCAAACCTATATTCAAAGGCTTACAAAAGCCAAGAGTCTAATCCCACAACCACTATCCTAAATAACACTTCAACACCTATAAACCACAAACCCATAAACATGACTAAAACCTTACAAACACCAAACCCCGGTACTTTGATGCAACTGCCTCCTCCGTGGTCTCCTGCTCTTTCTTGACGTCATCAGACGACCCAGCACCAGAGGCCTCGCTGGCCTGTTTGTACCAGTCGGCCTCCTCCTTGGCCGCCAGGAGCTCGGATTTCGGGCGATGCCATTCCTTGGCCAGACTGCACTATATGAACCGAACTACCCTAAACCCTAAAGCCTAAACCCTACTAAAACCGAAACCCTAAACCCTAGCTTTAAAGCTTCGCTCGAAAAGTCGGAACCCAAAACCCCAAAACCCCAAAACCCCCACCACACACTACCTATAGCCCTAAACCCTAAAGTTTCTATCTGCTTCACAAACAGCAGAGAAGCTGACTCGGCTCGAGCTGGCACCACCTTCGGCTGCACTGCCTCCGCCTTCGGCTGCACCGCCACCGCCGCCTTCGGCTGTGCCTTCGCCGCCTTCGGCTGCACTGCCTCCACCGCCTTCGGCTGCTGGGCCTTCACCGCCTTCGGCTGCTGTGCCTCCACCACCGCCTTCGGCTGCTGTGCCGCCACGGCCTTCGGCTGCTGAGCCTCCACCACAGCCTTCGGCTGCTGTGCCTCCACCGCCTTCGTCTGTGCCTCCACGGCCTTCGGCTGTGCCTCCACCGGCTTCGGCTGCAGCTGTGCCTCCACCGCCTTCGGCGGCACCACCGGCGGCTTCGGCAATGCCACCTTCGGCCTTGGTGCCACAGCCACCATCCTCCTCCACGGCGCCTTTCAGGGTTTAGGGGTTCGGGGTGGCGGGTTGAGGGTTTCGGGTTTTAGGGTTGGGATGTGCATATATATATATGTGTGTGTGTGTGTGTGTAAGTACATGTCTATGTACACATGCACCTTGATATAGATAGATAGATAGATATATATATATACATATATACATATATATATATATCTATATATCTAGGTACATACACATGAACATCTTATGTGCATGCCAGCCTGCAAAGGCTTTGGCCTATACAGGCCCCTAACCTTATCTATGTAGCCTAGAACCCTAAAGAACCACATAGGCCCGTCCTGCTTCGGCTCGGCAGCTGCCTCAGGAGGCTCGGCGACTGCCTTCGCCATCGCCTCCGCCAGTGACGGGATGCCCTGCCAGTCGTGACTGTCCACCTGCAGGGTTAAGGTTTTAGTGCTTGGGTTTCGGGTTTAGGGTTCTAGGGTTAGTGTTAAGGTTCATGGTTTATAAGGTTGAGGGTTTGGGGTTTCGGGTTTTAGGGGTGTTAAGCTTGGTGGTTTATAGGGTTGAAGGTTTGGGGCTTAGGGTTTATGCTGTGAAAGGAGCCTGTAGAGGCTGTAGCCTGTAAAGGCTGTAGCCTTCAAAGGCTTCTTCGGGCATACACATGCCGGCTATATCTATGTTCGAAAACTAAGCCCGCCTAAAACCTTATATAAACCCTAAAAATGCACCTCGGAGCCACCATCAGGGCCAGCAGCCGCCATTGCTTTGGCCTGCATGGGCAAAGCTCGAAAAACCCGTCAAAATGGAACCAACCCTATCTATCTCTGTCTGGTGCCTCGGCAGCAGTGTTCGCTGAACTCGCCGGCTGCTGCGAGGTCACCTTCCAGGGGCACAAAAGACCGAATGGCTTGCAAAAGCCCTTACACTAACCTATATGACCCCATACGAGCCCTCAACCCTATATAACCCCCTATATAATTAAACCATAGGCAAGGCCGTGTACAGCCGCTTTGGCCTCCTCCTCCGCCTCTGCCTGTCTCCTCGCTCGCCGCTGCCGCTGGAACTCATGCCACTCCTGCCCATGTTGTGGAGTTTATAGGGGGCCAATGTTGGGGGTTGTTCCAGCCTTCTCCAGCTCCGTCCAGTACTGCTCCTCCGGAGGGCCCCTCTTCATCTTGGGCCAAGACCTTCCACATTGGAGTGTTTCAAACTTAGCTTGGCTTCCTATCTTTGGACCAGGTGAAAGCCTGCACAGGCTGAGCGGTGGTAGCTTTCAAAAGCTGCAAAAAGTAGCCTGCACAGGCTGACCCTCCAAAGCGCTAGATTATACCCCAACAACCTTTAAGCTGAAAACACAACAGAACCGAAACCATTCTGCCTCAAAACCCCATGCACTGTAGCTTGCAAAAGCTGTAAAAGCCTGGAATGGCTGTCACTGGAAGAAAGAAACAAAACACGAAAAACGAAACCCTATAAACCTTAAACCCTAGAAGCACCTAAAACCCCGAACCCTTTCTAAACTAAACCCCCTATTTATAATATATAAACCCTAAACCTTCGAAGCACCTAAAACCCCAAACCCTTTCCAAACCATAAACCCTGGCAAGAACATCTTTTTGGAGCTTTTTGCATCCACGGTTTTCTGG